TTAAGCGATCATTTGTTCTGTGGGATGAATCATACTTAGAAAGTCCAAAAACGATGTTCGGTTTTTTCAAGAAAGGTCTCGCAAAACGTACACTGTGATTAGATACCATATTCGCTCTCCTGAAATAAGCTGACTTGACAACGCCACTGTCACCTAGTATATACAGAAAAGTGTGTATATATAAACAGACATGTTTTACTGTTATTATTACAACAGTCTTCATGAAAACTTTGAAACTTGCTTGCCAGTCGGACCAGTGAACTTTCAAAATTTACTGGCCCACTAAAAATTTCACTAGTCCCCTTAATTTAAAAAAAATGAATATATAAGTATAAATTAATACATACTTGTGTGAATATGTTGAATTAAGTACTATAACTTTTCAAACACCGGCATTTTTTGTTCTTTGTCGTGTTTCAGTAGGTTGTTCCTAGGATACTCGCGCATTTTACTGACTTACTACAGCCTACTCCGGACATATTGAAATTCAGGGGACCATGCAAATTATTTCGATATATCCGTAATTCAATATATTAAGCGAAATCGTAAAGCCACCATTTTTACATGTTCAATTCCGATCTAAAATAAAATGAAGAACAAACCCGAAAAAATTAATTTTGTCATTGTTTGAATTCGTTTATCTATAACAGTGAACCAGAGATCTCTTTTGTGTCTCAGAGAGAACAGATTACATAGAATATGAGTCCTTGAAAGTTTAAATAATTTTTTTTATTTCTGTTTCATTGAAAAGACAATCTTCAACCTCATTATTATTCCCTGATCGCATTTATTTATGTTTTGGAGAAAAATCACTGGACTTAAAAGGTTGAGGACTGCTGAAAGCTGCTTGTATTTCATCGTAAGTGTAATCAGGTAAATCCTTTAGCTATTTGGAATGTAGACATATCAATAGCCATTAACAGTACTTATTTAATTTCTGTTATGTTTTTTTCTAGATCTTTGGGGGTTACTAAAGATATGTTTAGCCTCAATATGTCCGTATTATATACATGGACGCAAAGAATTAAAGTCACTATTGAAGAATTTTATTTCGTAAGAGCATGCAGTTTAAAAACACGTAAGATGAAAATTTAATTATTCACACCTTTGTATATCAATTGGTCAATCATGCATAATTACTGTCACCAACCGCAACGACAGCTGCCAGGGAGTACTTCAATATAACCATTATGAAAACAACTCATTATCACCTGTGGGGACCAATCAGTGGCTTCAATATAAGCGAAATTTCAATATATCCAAATTCAATATAACCGTTATTTTAATGCAAAGAATGTGAGAGGCAAAACTGGGGATTTATTTTTATTTCAAAATAAGCGGAATTTCAAAATAAGCGATTTCGATATAAGTGGAGTAAGCTGTAGTTAGTTCTGGTTGTTACGTAATGCATCCATGTTATGTATAATACTACAATTAAACAACACATCTTTGTTCTTTTTATTAGGTCACCTATTGCTATCTGTTTTCGTCCGTTGTCGTTCGTCGTGCATCGTGCGTCAACATTTGAACATTTTCAGCTTCTTCTCTGCAACCACTGAACCAATATCAACCAAATTTGGCACAAAGCATCTATGGGTGAAGGGGAACAAAAATTATGAATTTCATGATCCCTGCCCCCCTGGGGCCTGAGGGGTGGGGCCAAAACCACTAAAATTAGTGCAATCTTTAAAAATCTTCTTCTTTACTCCTGGACATCAAGCAGTCAAACTGTTTGCATGATTGTAATCAGCATTAAGACCTTTACCAAAATTGTGAAATTCATGGCCCTGGGGTCAGGGGTTCTAGTGCTAGGGCGGGGCTAAATAAGTATATAGTGAAAATGCATTATTTCTTTGAAAATCTTCTTCTCTGCTCCTAGGTATTAAATAGACTAACTAAGTGCAAAGTTATGATGAGCAAGAGTGCCTCTACCAAAATTGTGAATTTTATGGCCCCAGGGTCAGGGGTTCTGGTGTTAGGGCGGGGCTCTATTGATTACTGTAGAAGCACAAATTTTCGTGGGCATAAAATTTCGTTGTTTTGTCATGAAAAAAAGTTTCGTGGGCATTAAATTTCGTTGTTTTCAAAGAAACTCTATACAATGTATAGTCATATAAAATTTCGTGTGGGATTTAATTTCGTTGAATATTGTTAACAACGAAATAAACGAAATTTAATCCCCCACGAATATTTGTGCTTTTACAGTATATAGTGAAAATAAATGAATTCTTTGAAAAATTTTTTCTCTGCTCCTGGGTATTAAATAGATTAACTAAGTGCATAGTTATGATGAGCAAGAGTGCTTTTACCAAAATTGTGAATTTTATGGCCCCAGGGTCAGGGGTTCTTAATTGTTTTAGGGTGGGGGCTGTAATGATTATATAGTGAAATGCATGAATTCTTTGAACATCTAATCCTTTGCTCCTGGTTAATATGCTAATGATCTAATTACATATTTAAGGCCAGGATTTATTTTATTTTAGTTTTACAAACCCTCCGCTCAAGGTTTTGAATTTTCAGAAAAAATTTTTTTAAAAATTTCTTTCCGATGTCAAATTTAAGTCGGGATCGAGATTTCAAATTTACGAACTTGCACTTCCGGTTTTACGATGAAACGGCAGGTAAATAAAGCTAGATCTGAGAAGATAGCTTGGTTTAGTGTAAAATTCATCGACAAGAGTGCCATTCAAAACGTTTCACCCGTTCAAAGGACAAATAAAATGTTGACGACTTTGTTGCACAATGACATGCTGGTGAGATAATCATGTATTCGTTTCAAAAGTAACTGTCTGTAAATTATTTTCCTCCCCCAGGTTTTAAACTGCCCTTGGTAGCTATTGCATATTGCCAGCGACATTGTTTAGGTCTCTGTTATAGCTTACAGTTTAAGCACCATTCTTTAGAAAAGGGTTGCTTATGCATCAGATGTAATGAATACAAGCAAATTCAAAGAATTGTGGTCCCCCGCTTTCGGTGTCTTTGTGGGCGAAATATTATTTTTTAGGGTCAAGGTCAAAAGGTCAAAGTTATTGGTATCATATGTAAGGTCTTGCCACAAAGAATATAAATATTTAAAATATGATAGTCCTAGTTTCTACCGTTCAAAAGTTGTGACCAAGGTTAAAGTTTTTAGAAAGAAGTTTAAACTCCAAGGTCAAGGTCAAAGGGTCAAAGTTCTTGGTATGCAAGGAAAGGCCTTCTCACAGGGATTACATACGTGAAGTACGAAAGCCCTAGCCCTTACCGTTTAAAAGTTATGGTCAAGGTTAAAGTTTTTCAGAAGTACGTAAATTTCCAAGGTCAAGGTTAAAAGGTCAAAATTGTTGGTATCCAATGAAAGGTCTTGCCACAAAGAATATATATGTGAAATATAAAAGTCCTTGTATCTACTGTTCAAAAGTTGTGACCAAGGTTATAATTCTTAAAAAGTAGTTAAAACTCCAAGGTCAAGGTCAAAAGGTCAAAGTTCTTGGTATCCAATGAAAGGTCTTTTTACAAGAATAACTTATTTGAAGTATAAAAGCCATAGCCCTTACTGTTCAAAAATTATGGTCAAGGTTAAAGTTTTTTCATAAGTACGTAAATTTCCAAGGTCAAGGTCAATAGGTCAATGTTGTTGGTATCCAATGAAAGGTCTTGTCCCAAAGAATAAATATTTGAAATATGAAAGTCCTAGTACCTACCATTCAAAAGTTATGGTCAAAGTAAAAGTTTGGAATTTTTGAGTAAAACTTGGTCAAACTCGAAGGTCAAGGTCAAAAGGTAAAATTTGGTGGTACCCAAAGAAAGGTCTTATCACAAGGAATACACATATGAAATATGAAAATCATAGCTCCACTAAATCAAAAGTTATGGGCAAGGTTAAAGTTTTTGTGACGGACAGACTGACGGACAGACAGACGGACAGACGAATGAGATTTAATGTCCCCTCACTTTCGCGAAAGCGGGGGACAAAAACTATGGGAGAAGTTAAGTCCATTTGAGGAAGAAATAAACAATAACCTGAAGAAATTTTAAAAAATTCAACTATTTAAAAAAGGCAAGAATATACAAATATATACAGGCATGTAGTATCATTTGTATCAGCCAGAAAAATTATTTTACACTTAATTGAAAAAATGTTCACCCTACTCCGCAATATTCCCTGTCTGTTTTATGATAGGAATTATAATTTTAGGCATCAAAGTAAATTTTAGAACAATGTCTACACATTCACCTAACACATATTAAAAAAAATGAAGATAAATTGAAAGACTTTTAAAGAATTGATTTTTTAAAATATATTTTGATCAACATCACAAAAGTTATATAACTGGCCCAAACTGGCAGATGATGAAATAAGCAATTAAATGTTCTACTTTCCTATTTGTAAGCATTATGTGTCCAGTGGTAAGGAGCATATTAGGATAGCATAAAAAAAGAATGTGCAAATGTTAATAATTGATTTATCAATTTTTTTTTTTTTATTTCCTTCTCCTTCGGGACTTTTTTATTCTCATGTTCATAACTAAACCTAAACAAAAATGCTGGCCTTATAATGAAGAAAGGGGCCTCTTTCAAAATAGATAATTTCAGGGCCGCTGGGTCAGGGGTACCAGGGGGTACTTTGACTAAAAATAAATTAATGCTTTGAAATCTGCCCTTTGATAAGCTCTGGTGCCTCTTTCAAAATTTGTGAATTTCATGGCTTTTGGATTAAAACACGAACCAAATACAATTGCTGGAAAGTTGTTACATGATACTCAGGTGACCTATAAGGCCCGTGGGCCTCTTGTTTAATATATAAATGAAATTTATGCAAGCAAGACAGTTTAAATATATATTGAATGTGTATGATTGTGATAATCAATAAGCCCATCAGACTTCTTGAATTTTGATTTTCACTGACCCTATGTCAAAATTCACTGGCCCCGGTCTTCGGACCAGTGAGTTTTCATGAAGACTGTAAAAACAAAAAAAGATAAGGTGCCATCAATAAATCTGAATGATATATGACTTACATTTATTATTGTTGATTTGATTCTGTAACGAAGTCTTCACATTTATGATTCGAGCTGAAATCTTTGTTATTTTCCCTGCCACATTACGGTCTTCTTTTTGTAGTTTTTCCACATCTGTTGTAATTTTTCTCTTTAGTGATGTTTGTTTCATTTGAATGCTTGAAACTTTTGATTCTAAAGTTTTGATTTTATTGGTCAGATTTTGAAGCTCATTCATTCGATGTTGCATTGATTTGATTTCTTTCTGCATATCTTCCATAACTTTACTTTGTTTACCCAAGTAAAGAAGTAAGTCCATGACAGAAGGGGATTGTAATCTTGAATCTCTCTAAAAACTAGTGCTAATTGTAACGGGGACCGTTACAGATGTTCCCCAAACGCTCCCCAACTCCCTTTTAGTGCCATATTCCCTGTAATATACTATATATGAAAGCCTTCAGTCCAAAAGTATTAAAAATCACTCATTCAAGTGTATTTCTAATTTCATTCTTTTCAAATGCACGCACGTGCGTGCACGTGCATTATGACCATACCTTCCTGTAGGAGTCCCTTATATCTATCTATGTTCTGAATTCCATCCTGTTTGGTTAAAAAACAAGGGAGTTATAGCCATTTCAAGTTTCAGCCAATCAGATTGCAGCACACGTGCATGCGCGTGATTTCTTGACTTTTTTATATCACATTGTAGGATATCCTAATAAATGTCTATGTTTCAAATTTCAAAGCATTTCGTCAAAAAACAAAGGAGATATAGTCATTTAAAGTTTCAGCCAATCAGATCGCAGCACACGTGCATGCGCGTAATTTCTTGAATTTTTTTTGTATATCATATTGCAGGACATCCTAATGTTTGATTATGCTTTAAATTTCAAAGCATTTCGTTAGAAAACAAAGGCGATATAGTCATTTAAAGTGTCAGCCAATCAGATTGCAGCACACGTGCATGCGCGTGATTTCATGATTTTTTTTCTATATCATATTGTAGGATATCCTAATTCATGACAATGTTAAAAATTTCAAAGCATTTCGTCAAAAAACAGAGAAGATACAGAGATTTTTGATTTAGCCAATCAGAGCGAAGCGCACGTGCATGCGCGTGAGTTCGTGCTAATTTGACAGTGTCACACTATCTTCACTATTAATATATCTTTATATACTGAGTTTCAAATCATTTCATTTAAAAATTTAAAAGTTATAGCTATATTAAGTATATAAGTCATTTCACGTGTTGCACGCGCACGCACGTGCAAGCGTTTGCGCGCAAAATGACCTTCGTTCCGCACACCTACACTACACACCCATTAACCCTAAAAAGGTTTTAGGTCAGTTGGGTGAACAGTTTCTGAGAACACTTCCGGACAAAAAAGTACCGGAGGACAAATAAGAAAAAAAAGAATAACTAGAGCAAAGCTCGTTGCAAAGCAACGAGTAGGTCTTCCGTCCAGTTTTGACCGGAAGTGCCGGAAGTGACAGAACAAAAGAAAGCAATGAGCTAAAAAGTCTCCAGTGACTTTATAATTTCATTTTTGCACCAAAACCTTCAAAATAAGCCATTTTTTGCTACTTCCGGTTTGACCGGAAGTGACGACGACGGACGGAAAAATTACGTTTTATGCTTCCAGAGACTAATGTAACCACAAAACTTGTCAAGAACGGCAAAAAAACGCGTTTTCCGACTACTTCCGGTTTGGCCGGAAGTGACGACGCCGGACGTATTTTGACAACGCCAGTAGATTAAGCTTGACATTTTGAACAACTTTGCTTCTTTGACCCCTTACAAATTCTTAATACTTTTTGACTTATGAAAGAAAAACTTTCGGCCCCTCTAGGCCCTTAAATTAAGGGGCCAGCCCTTTTTTTAAGATTTCATTTGAAAGATCTTGAAATTTTACACTTCTTTTGTTCTATATGTTTAAACAAAATGTTTACAGGTAAAAAGATATCGTAGAAAAGGTGTTAAAAATTTTGAAATTTGCGATTTGTCATTTTTCGAGCCATAGCCAGCGCCGACGTACTGCACTTCCGGTAAAAACGAAAGACGTTACGCATATCTATAGACTTTGCTCTATCATACCTGAAAGTTTCATGTTTCTATCTAGAGCCATTATTGAGAAAGTCTGGAGACAACCTGACCCTTTAAAATTCATAAAATCGGCAATATTTCCAAACCGGAAGTGACGTCATCAAAACGGAAAAAAATGCATAAGGTTCAAGTAATGTTACATAAGTTCTGAAAGTTTCGTTGAAATCCATCGAGCCGTTTTTGAGAAATCGCGTGCACAAAATCGGTAAGAAAAAAAAGAATAATAATAATAATAATAAAAGTGAAAAAGAAACCTAAGAATAACAAGAAGGTCTTCCGCTGAAGACGGAAGACCTTAATAACTAGATACGATCTCGTTGCGAGCAACGAGTGGGTCTTCCGTCCAATTTTCGATGAAATGAGATAAGATTTTGACTGGGATTTTCATTCAGAATAATATCTTTTAGGTAATTGATGTTGCTTTGTGTAAATCTGTATTTGGACAGATGGAGAACATAAAACTATATGTTGCAAAATCTCTCAAAGGTCAAATAAATTATCACTTAAACAATTTAAATTTTTTAAAAATCGAGGGCTATATTTGTATTGTGACAAATAGAAATCATCAAACAATGTGTTTTTAAATCGCTCAAATGTTAAATAAAGTGAGATTTAAACGATTTAAATTTTCAAAAAAATTAAATTACTTCCAAATGTAAAATCAAGTACTATATTTGTATTGTGAGATATAGAGAGCATCATACAATATGTTTTGAAACCTCTCAGAGGTCAAATAGAGTGAGATTTAAAAGATTTAAATTTTAAAAAAAAATTAAATTGCTTCAAAATGTAAAATCAAGTACTATATTTGTATTGTGACAGATAGAGAACATCACACAATGTATTTTGAAACCTCTCAGAGGTCAAATAGAGTGAGATTTAAACGATTTAAATTTTTCAAAAAATTTAAATTGCTTCCAAATGTAAAATCAAGTACTATATATGTATTGTGACAGATAGACAACATCATACAATGTGTTTTAAAACCTCTCAGAGGTCAAATAGAATAAGATTTAAACGATTTAAATTTTTAAAAAAAATTAAATTGCTTCTAAATGTAAAATCAAAATATTATATATGTATTGTGACAGATAGAGAACATCATACAATGTGTTTTGAAACCTCTCAGAGGTCAAATAAATTGAAATTTAAACGATTTAAAATTTTCAAAAAATTTAAATTGCTTCCAGATGTAAAATCAAGTACTATATATGTATTGTGACAGATAGAGAACATCATACAATGTGTTTTAAAACCTCTCAGAGGTCAAATAGAGTGAGATTTAAACGATTTAAATTTTTCAAAAAACTTCTATTGCTTGCAAATGTAAGATTAAGTACTACATATGTATTGTGACAGATAGAGAACATCATACAATGTGTTTTGAAACCTCTCAGAGGTCAAATAGAGTGAGATTTAAACAATTTAGATTTTTCATAAAATTTAAATTGCTTCAAAATGAAAATCAAGTACTATATATGTATTGTAACAGATAGAGAACATCATACAATGTGTTTTGAAACCTCTCAGAGGTCAAATAGAGTGAGATTTAAATGATTTAAATTTTTCAAAAAATTTAAATTGCTTCCAAACGTAAAATTAAGTACTATATATGCATTGTGACAGATAGAGAACATCATACAATGTGTTTTGAAACCTCTCAGAGGTCAAATAGAGTGAGATTTAAACGATTTAAATTTTTTTTTATTTAAATTGCTTCCAAACGTAAAATCAAGTACATATATGTATTGTGACAAATAGAGAACATCACACATTGTGTTTTGAAACCTCTCAGAGGTCAAATAGATTGAGATTAAAACGATTTAGATTTTTTTAAAAATTTAAATTGCTTTCAAATGTAAAATCAAATACTATATATGTATTGTGACAGATAGACAACATGATTCAATGTGTTTTGAAACCTCTCAGAGGTCAAATTAAGTAAGATTTAAACGATTTAAATTTTTCAAAAAATTTAAATTGCTTCCAAATGTAAAATCAAGTACGATATATGTATTGTGACTGATAGAGAACATCATACAATATGTTTTGAAACCTCTCAGAGGTCAAATAGAGTGAGTTTTAAACGATTTAAAATTTTTAAAAAATTCAAATTGCATCTAAATTTAAAACAAAGTATTATATATGTATTGTGACAGATAGAGAACATCATACAATGTGTTTTGAAACCTCTCAGAGGTCAAATAGAGTAAGATTTAAACGATTTAAATTTTTCAAAAAATTTTAATTGCTTCAAAATGTAAAATCAAGTACTATATATGTATTGTGACAGATAGAGAACATCATACAATGTGTTTTGAAACCTCTCAGAGGTCAAATAGAGTGAGTTTTAAACGATTTAAAATTTTGAAAAATTCAAATTGCATCTAAATTTAAAACAAAGTATTAAATATGTATTGTGACAGATAGAGAACATCATACAATGTGTTTTGAAACCTCTCAGAGGTTAAATAGAGTGAGATTTAAACGATTTAAATTTTTCAAAAAATTTTAATTGCTTCAAAATGTAAAATCAAGTACTATATATGTATTGTGACAGATAGGGAACATCATACAATGTGTTTTGAAACCTCTCAGAGGTCAAATAGAGTGAGTTTTAAACGATTTAAAATTTTTAAAAAATTTAAATTGCATATAAGTTTAAAACAAAGTATTATATATGTATTGTGACAGATAGAGAACATCATACAATGTGTTTTGAAACCTCTCAGAGGTCAAATAGATTGAAATTTAAACGATTTAAATTTTTCAAAAAATTTAAATTGCTTCCAGATGTAAAATCAAGTACTATATATGTATTGTGACAGATAGAGAACATCATACAATGTGTTTTAAAACCTCTCAGAGGTCAAATAGAGTGAGATTTAAACGATTCAAATTTTTCAAAAAATTTAAATTGCTTCAAAATGTAAAATCAAGTACTATATATGTATTGTGACAGATAGAGAACATCATACAATGTGTTTTAAAACCTCTCAGAGGTCAAATAGAGTGAGATTTAAACAATTTAAATTTTTCAAAAAAATTAAGTTGCTTCCAAACGTAAAATCAAGTACTACATATGTATTATGACAGATAGAGAACATCATGCAATGTGTTTTGAAACTTCTCAGAGGTCAAATAGAGTGAGATTTAAATGATTTAATTTTTTCAAAAAATTTAAATTGCTTCCAAATATAAAATCAAGTACTACATATGTATTGTGACAGATAGAGAACATCATA